GTGTAAACATGGTTTGGATACAACCTTACCCGGGCCAGCAGGAGACAGTTGTTTGCAGATTCTGGCAGCTATACATTTAACAAATCCTCTTGACTATGAAGGGCAAAAACAGAAGGCGAGACTGGATGCATGGTGGAAAGCACCCAGGGGGTCAAAAGGGCATATTAATACTTCATCATAAAATAGAATTGTTTGTCATGAGGAACCTTGATGAGAAGCAGTGTAATGTACATGTACTTGTGAGTTGCATAAATGACAAGGGATCATTACACTGTCCGGTTGTTTTCTTGAGCATTACTTTCTTCCAATTGTAACACATTAAATAGAACTTGGTATAAGATCCTAAGAAAATGTTTGTCATTAAAGCAGATTCTGCTATGATTTAAACATCTGACATTCTGAACGTCTGTACATGTAATTTTAATCTTGGACCACTCCAGATGATAAGCACATTTAAGTAGCTGGCAGAGTAGCTTTCAGAGTCGAACTGCTCACCACACAATGGCAGCAGTATTAAACTAGTACAATCACAAATAGACTGAGGACTGGAATATTTTGAGAAAGATTTCATCCTAGAAACTTCAGCAAATATGTGGCTTTTTGAACTGTAGCTTTCACACTCCAACCACCATTCTCTTGAAATTCAAAGGTTCAATCTTTGGTCTTGGAGGCTGAAAAACAGGAGTTATTAACTCATAGACTCAAATGGGATTAGTTTTTACTTGGATCAAATGGTTAATTGAAAACCTAGTTTATCTGAAAAAAAGTAATTCACTTTACATGTACGTTACCTGCCTGTACATGTACATGCATATTGGACGCTTTGCCTATCACCAATGCATAATAATAACAATTATGTTCACTTTATGAAAAAAAAAAGAATGTATGACAAACATGTATAAGTACATACATACATGCACTTATGGTCTGAGTTGGTGCTAACTACATTGCACGTACACACAAAGACACCACAGCTTGGTTAAGACGAATCACACTACATGTACATATATCTCCTTGTCTTGGGTTCACATTGGGCCATTAGTGCAGTGTCAACACAGCAGAGCTCAAACCACCAATTTACTATGCCTACGCACAGACCATGAAACCAATATCTTTTGTCTTGAGGCAAAGGTGACAGATCAAGACCTTTCTTACTTTCCAAATTGAAGATATAAGGATGAAACACTTGGCTCTGACATATTTGACACACCAGAGACTTTAGTCTAAACACACAGCCTTGATGTCCTAATTATTTTAACCCTGCCAATCTTATAGCCAGGATGCTGTTACCATTACAGTGGGTAATGTATCATATCTTCAAATCAAGCATAAGAACACATCCTGGGCCTTGTATTCAAAGTCCATCAACTGGAAAAGGAACATAACCATGCGTACATAATGGGGAACAGGAGAAGTGCAAACAAGTCCTTCCTGAACACAGATAATTTCTGCCAGATTCAGGAAGACGTTTCCTCACCAAAATACTTACATGTTAAGAATGAAATTCAACACTCAGGCTGCAAGTTGTCTTCATACCAAACAAAACCAAAATATACACGAAAGTAACATTTATTACTTGAAGATGTACATAGGACACAGGTTGATTGTGTTTAAAATTCAGGACCAAAACAAGAACCATGTGCGTCACATTTATAATTATTAATCAACAGTCATTATAGGATATTCTACGACACTGTACATGTACTTGACCAGTACGTAAAAGCCGAATATCCAAACCATGTAGGAAACTGGGAACGTCCCTCACCCCACATAAAAAGAATTGGCTCAAATTACCTACATGTACTTGTCTGAGGATACTGACTTCATATTCTGAAAGAGGGCTTGAAAAGCATGACAAACATTTCAATAAATTTCTGAAGATCAAGACATTTACTTTGCCTTAAGCCATATGATGGCACTTTGTTTCAAACTTGTCAAAACAATTTCAAAGGATGCTTCAGCCTTTAAACCTCTCAAGTCTGAAGACCAAACAAATACACAGTGTTGAGTAACCAAATGAAACGGAGATGCAGTTCTTCGGGTATGAGGTCAAACTGCCAGCTTGAGGCCTTGAGCATATAAAGGTTCTTATACGGATATCAAAAATTTGACTTTTAAACCTGCAAAACCAAGCTCATGCATCAAAATTAAAGGATTTGTTTTATCTTCACTGAGAAGACTATACATGTAGATGAACAGGAAAACACAACTTTGGTAAATTTCTTGAAATTATATATTTATAGGTACAATACATGTAGGTGGCCATTTCCCCTCTAGCTTTAATATGATTTTAGGACACCCTTGGGGTTAGGGTTAAAGAAACCTGACTGATCATATGATATTGCGAGAAGTACTAACCAGAATTGCAAGGACATAATGAGAAATGTACTGCCCAGGATGGAATGACGTTCATCAGTGTTGGACATGGCTACCTACATGTAACAGATCTACTTCAAGCAGCCTGAAAACTTTTTAATTAACCCAATTCGAACAGACCCGAACTCCTTCACTCTGATTGATTTGCCTAAGTGATCAATGGTGTATTTGAGGAAGAGCAGGAGGTACAGTTTGTATTGGCACATCAGATGTTGCTCTTGCAAGACTAATGACAATTGATCACTTTAACAAAGTTCAAAAAGGTGAAAAGAACTGCACGTTTAAACTTTAAATGGAGGATCCCCACATACTTCAGAGATTTCAAAGACCTCAGTCCCCACAGACGTATACCCTGTTGCCTTTGACCGCAGCATAAAAGTGTACTCGTACAGGAAGGATTATATTGGGATTTCGAAGAAGTCCTTCTAGTCTTCATGCCATGTTTTAAAATGTGATTCAGCAATCCACATGTGTGAATGATTAATCTTGACATGCAGAGTTCAAAGCAGGCAAAGATTTATCCAGTGCAGTGACTGAGTCAGGTCTTCTTCTTGATATCCTACGGGTTCAGTATTTTGTTATGCAAATGTGTGAAGGCCAAGCAACTTGGACATGTAAATTGATCCAGAAAGGATTTAAATCCAGCCCAAACTGGACTTTTGGGGTGAAACTTCAAGAGGATGGGTTCCTTTCCCATTTTCAGTCCAGTGTGAGTCTGAAAAACAAACATCTGGCCCAAGCTTGCGGTCACGCTGCACAAGGACACAGGTTTCACTAGGGTACAGTGCACTAATGTGGGAAGTTTCGAAAGCACTCTTCTTCTTTTGGTCACAATCATGGATATTATTATCATTATTGATACAGTTGGAAGTTTGATAGGTACAACCGGTACATCATTCTAAGATAATAATGAAAGACATTGGCGTCCTATCTAACGATGAAAGAAAGCACAGTACCGGGAGCATCGACTCATTTTACTGACAGCCAAGTTATCTCTCCCATGGTCTCGGTAAAACTTTCCCATGTTAAAAGTCCAAGTGAGGACAGTGGTCATATAAATGTATGACAATTTTTGCTACACTATCATTTTTATAAAACTTTCCAAAAGTTTCAGTGAGGGCACGGACACTCATTCATTCACTCAATGAAACCGATAAATAGTGCAATTACCCTTTGCCTTGGTCACACTGGGAAATAATGTTTTGGATATTTAGTCAAAAACTTGAAATCAAAGCAGTATTGTAGTCGAGTACTTTTGTACTGCCAAGTACTTAAACTTCCAAGTACCTGAAAGTCTGAGTACTTCACCTACCAAGTACAAAACTGATTTGTTAGAATGTTTAAATGGATGTGAACAATGGATCTACTAACTTTTTTGCAGCTGATTGTTTTATTGAAATCTGTCACAGCATTCCTAATCAGTATGTTTAAGTAAAGTTGCTGATTATACATGTATTTAATCCGAAAACTGTGTACAAGTATTTTAGGTTCCTTGACAAAACACAGACATACAACATTTATACAGAAAGAAAAAGAGCATCAGTTCTGATGCACCAACAACAGCAAAAGCGTTTACTCAGAGCATGGAGATGGAGTCTATTTCTACCTCCATGCTCAGAGGTAAAATGTAAAAGCATCGAGAATAAGCAAATGCAGTTGATGCATTTCCCAATTTCACAGAGCTGCTCACAGAATTTGCTGAAGTGCCATAAAACCTTGCTCAAAGACAAAGGTTACCAGCTAAAACTCACGTCAACCAAAAAACATGTAAATACACATGTAACATTCTCAAACAATGTACATGACAATGGAGCTGTGATTGGTGATCTGCGCTTACACGTGGCCATGTACCATGTGTACAACATACATGTACACACATGTGCATGTACTGTACCACTGCGACTCCAACTCATGATGCGTTAGCCCAGGCTAGGCAAGCACAACTCGAACGCGTAATGTGGATGGGTGAAGTCTGCTTTCCAAACTTAACATTCCTACATGTTCATGTATGCCCGTGTTATTCTATATTCTAGATTCTATGTCAGGGCCGGGAACCAGACTAGCTACAACTGAATTGAGTACTACCGGTACTATTCTTGGACCCAAGATGCCTTTTTGTTGTGCTGTGATCCATTATTGCATGCAGTGTGCGGTGTACACATGTACATGTACGTGCACTTCACAAGGCAATACACAGAGACAATGCCCCTTCCATGTAAGACTACATGTAAGAATACATCGGCGTTTCACATTCATAATTGACGAAGATGGCAAATGTGTAGACCTTGTGTTTGCCAGACTGTATCGGTCTACGAGGATCAATTCTCATGCACCGTTGTATTTTAATGGCCATAATGGGTTTTAAAGGATTTTTTATCAAGTATGAGTACATGTACCTTGATGCTCGAATACAACTTTCTTCCGAGTATTTTGCAGCCCAAGTTCAAGAACTGTTGTTCGAGTAAAGTACTTGGAAATTCGAGTACAAGTAAGACATGAGTACTCTGAAAACGATAGAGTACGAGATCTGAGTAGCGAGGGCTACAACACTGCATCAAACCTCAACAAAATACAAGTATCTTTACTATGAGACAATATACAATTGCTTGAGTAAAACAACTTACCATTGAACGCAATTGCTGAGCCACTCTGTGCCCAAATTGCAATCAAGAGAGTCAACAGCATCCTGGCGACGGATGTCAAAGCCATGATGACTAGAATTGGAGTAGTATCGCTGGCTTGGCAGGGCTCCAAAGGCAACTACATGTACCAACAACACTTAGTGTTGACATGGACTGGTACAATCAGCAAACTGCAGAGGGAAAGAGAGTCAGTGAGGGGGTGAGGGAATCACAGTGACAGAATGGAGGTGAGGAAACAGGGGTAAGGGGGTGGGTCCGGGGGTGGGCAAGAGAAAAAACGTCAAGATATTAATTACCAATTTGGTAAAACCCTAAATTTAATCAAGAAAAAAGTCTCAGATTACACTGTAATTCCACGTAGAAGACATCTACACACTATACATGTAAAAAAAAGCTGCAACACTGAAGTAACGGTTTCTATATCTACACAAATTTAACAAAGTACATGTACATGGAAATAAACATGCTGTAGTGCTTCCTGGCTCTGATTGAAATATTCTATTTTGGCTTGTTACTCCTCCATACATTTGAAAAGCATCAAGTCACATTAAAAGATTACGCATGAAAGTAACATATCCCTACTACCCTGTTATTAAAAGTGTTTGAGGTTTAGTGTACATACTAGGTAGGTGATACATGCACTGCTAAAGTATTGGTACACCGGTAAAGCTTTCCCGTTTTTTTTTTAGTTTTTAAAGGGAGATTAGGTCTCCCACTTTTCTGTTGTTTTGTCTTTTGCTCTCAATATTAAATAAATACATGTAAACAAAGATGGAAATTGTCACTGAAAATAGACCCTGCATGTACATGTGTGTTGGGTTTGCCTCTTTTAGGATCGCCCTTAGTAACTACTGGGCACTCCCCTTTTTTGTAAATAGTGGATCAACAAAATTTCGCTTCAATTTTTTGTGACATCACATTCCCTTCATTTTCCCATTCACTTGACTTACATACATGTACATGTATGAACAGGCCTTCAAGTAAAAGACATCCCGAGTGGGATTTGAAACTACAGGGATTGTAGAAGTAACTGGTACATGCGACCCTTTGTAATGGAAGCTAAATGTCATAATTTGTGGTAAAAATGGATGACAGATGCTCATTAACATATTCTTTTGTCTGAAACACATAGCCGCCAGCTTAGTGTCTGCATGACATGACACCTGTCAGCCAAGCTCCAATGATTTTATGATCTTCATCCATTTTTCATGTCTCCCATCCTTACGTTCATCACAAGGCAAATCAACAACCACATGTACATGTACAATGTATTCAATCTTTAACAACCTCTCCAGTTTATCCATTACTTGTTTAAAGTCAAAACAGTAAGTACAATGCAGATGTTGCCAATTTGGTATGGCTGGCCTAATCTCTCCTCCCCTTTAAAACCCATATTCTAATCGGATGACTTGCAATCCATCAACGAATAACATTACTCTGTAGCTACCAAACCATTTGCATGTGTCATGTATGCAGCATCATAAAAAAACTATAGCATACGCTACGTACATACAATTACATGTATATTACACACTAAATTAATTTGAGCGCTTGGCTAATCTATGAATTATTCCTTGTGAGAAAAGACAGAAAATATTACACCATTACAAACTGCTTGTAATTGTATGATGGAAGACAATGCTAAATGTATGTCATATATCAAAACAAGTTTAATCTAAATCTTTCAGAGAATTTACTGCGAAAATTTCAAAATGAGAGATTCTTGTTGTACATCATGTAATACATGTACTTGTCAATTAATCCCAAAATTAATGAATACATGTACAGTGCAGTTAAATGCTGTTTCAGGTCAATAGTTGGATACATGCCTAGTAAATTACTTTATTTTAAAAACTATCACTTTTTTCTATTGAATCTGATTGTGTGCATCACTACAAGTACAGTACAAAAATACACCTTTAGAAACTTTCCTTTCAAAACTGGAATTCTATTGGCCGAAAAATTTATAAAGATGAACAAAGAAATTGACTGGAGCGAGATTTGAACCTGCAGCCTCCGGAATACCGTACCTGTGCTCTACAAACTAAGCTACATGTATCTAACCTTATGTTGATGGTTTGTCTTATTTGTCAATATTTTTGTTGGGGGGCACCAATAAATTTTGCCAAAAAAGAAAGAAAAAACGAGCATACTGGGTCAACAATTCATGTACATGTACCTGCATTTAAAAAATAATTTTATTTATTTATTACCAAACTCTTGCGACCATTTTAAGTGGTCAAACTGTGATTTGACTTACATATTTTAAAAAAATGAAAAATTTAAAATCATAGGCCTTAATGATTAAATGAGAGAAAAAAAGATTAAAAAGGAAAATTTACAAAGATTGAAAAAAGAGCAAAAACCTAAACATTAAAACAGAGAAAGCACTATACCATTAAAAATTTCCTTAGTTATTTCTTTTTACAAATCTGTCATACTCTACAATAACAATAAAAATACTTCAAGTAAGATGTTAAAGTGAATTTGAAAGCAATGTTTTTTCTATTAAATAAAGTACACGATGAAAAACACTGGATTTGGACCTCCTACCTCCACAAACACACACCCTTCAATTTTCAGGGAACTGAGCTTTTTATATACCTACACACTCAAACATTTGGCTCAATAAAAATCATTTTTGCCAATATTCCACAACATGTTTGCGGTCATTTTGGAAAACCAGTTCTCAAAACATTGAGAAGCAACACATGATTTTGTAAATTGTGAACAGAAGTGTTTTCTCCCATGAGCCAATTAAGGTTTCAACATCGAATTCCAACAGGGCATCATCATACAATGAATGACCTGAGCCTAAATTATCCTGAAGGCTCTTTTTTGTGTTGATTTGATACAAGACGTTTGGTATGCAGTTAAACCTGAGTGCCACACAGGTGCCACTATTCAAATATGGGCTAAACATACATGCATGTGGGAAAAAATGTTACAAGATCTTTTCTGGGTACAATGAACTTTTTTAAGCATCTGAGAATGTGGAGACGCCTGCCACCTTCAGAAATCATTTGTTGAACCTGTGTGTTCCACTTTAAATTATTTTGAATCCATACTCCACGTAACTTTGTTTCTGTCACAACTTCAAGTGTATCATCACCTATTACTAAGGAGGGTGGTTCACGTGAATCTTTTCCAAAATAAAACTGCATAGCTTTACACTTGGATGGATTGAGATTAAGCTTGTTGCTATGTGCGCAGTGAACTACTGTAAATCATCGATATTATTCTGAATGAGAGAAATGCTGTTGACTGATCTGATCTGATCTGATCTCACCTACATGTAAGTTAAGATCATCCATATATTTCCATTTTTGGGCTATAGAGTCGGCACATGTATCGTTAACCCTAACCCTACATAATACTCCTAATACTACTTGTAGTAAAATGTAGTACTGAGCGCTGTTGCTTGTAAGAGGACATGACTTTATTGTTCTCTGAAGCCATACGATATAATAGATAAGACAATGTACCATACAGTGCTGTGGCACTATGAATGCATGGCTTTATTGTTCTCTGTACGAGTAACAATGGAAGTAACCTAGCCAGAAGTAGTAATTTCTAGCGCGAGGTCCTTCAAGCTCAGACTATTACTTTAGTATTTTGTAGTACTGTGTGGCGTAAGCCAAACAACATGTTTGGTGGTTAAGGTTAATAATAGCCAAAAAAATGATCAGGCCAAGTTTTGTCCTTGAGGAAAACCACACATAACATGTTCCAAATTCAGAGGGCTGATTGATAGCGAATTTGAAGAGAAGTCAAAGATTATTTTTTTTTTTACCTTCTTCATCTCAAACCTTAAAACAAGCGTGGAGCACTGAATTTGAAAGAACTTTAAAATAGCTTGCACTGAAGAAGCTAAAGATGGCCAAAGCTCAAAGACATCTGTACAGCATTCACATGAGAAAGATTTGTGGAGCCACGAACTTAGAACACGCACCTTGCTACATACATGGATGTTCATCACACACCTTGGCAATCCACATACCCCTACACATTTAAGTTCCAATAACCTTGAGCATTGAGTAACATCTGATTATGATTATGATAGTCTACATGTAGAAGCTGATCCAACAACCCATGCACTTTCCTTGAAGAAATTGCCAATTTGAGGGCCAGATGGAATTTACATGTTCTCCACTTCCCCCCAACATTCCAAAGAACAACTGCCATTTATCAAGTCAAATACTTCAGCAGATTCCAACCAGTCTTGTGATGACTGGAGAGTCCCCTTCTTGATCCTCTTGTGAATCGATTCTTTGATCACAAAGTCTCTTCTTCATTCCCATATCTGACTATTCTCTTTTGGCAATAAATAAAACTCTTCTAGGAAAACAGATCCTTTTACGCACAACCTGGAATGTTGGAAATTTTCAACAATACACAAAGTGACAGAGGAGATCTTGAGAGTTCATTCATCCATCACATTAAGAAGTCTTCTCATCCACACATCCGCGCAAACAACCAAGCGCTAAGCCCCCATAAGCTCACCAACAATTCACTTTCAGAACAATTCTGTCAGTTCTTTTCACCTGAAACTGCCAAATAATCCTCATTCTTCAAGACTGAGCCAAGGATGGTTTGTGTATCATTGTAAGAATGTCAAGAAAGTACAGTTTAAGCTGATAAGCTCAAATCAGTCATGATAAGTACTGCGGGGACTGAAGTTTCTGCAGGGACTGAAGTTTCTGCAGGGACTGAAGTTTCAAGAAAAATCTGTTAAATCATGACAAAGTACATGTACATCTCAAAAAAGCCTGCAGAGTGTGGGGAGGGGGCTTCTGCAAAGTGCCAAATGTGAAAAATGTTTCAGTATGCTATAAGCAGACAGCTGTAACAAGACAGCTGTCTTTTTCATGTTAACTGTAATGTAATGTACATGTCGAAGATGTGATTTAAGCCCAATAATTTCATGCATTTCCAATCCTCCCAAGGCCTGAAATGTGCCTGTGCTATGCCTCTGCTCTATCAGTGCCTTACAGTGACTTACCAATGCTCACAATTACAGATGGTACTGGAAGTGAAAACAGCAACTGAGATTTGATGAGACATGGATATGAAATATTTCAAATTCTTAGGAAACTTTTTCATTTTCACAACAGCAAGTTTGCTTACCACAAGGTCCATGATGAGCCTGATACATGTATACAGGCTTTTC